ATATTAATTATTAAAGTATGTATATATTAAATGGTATTTTATTAAGGAGAAATAACAAGAACAAAAAGAAATACGGCAAGTGATTCTTAATATTTTTAAGAGAAGGAATATTAATTAGTCTTTATTTTTCTTAGAAAATTATTAAACTTATTTAGAGGTTTTTATGTAAAATTTGATGCGATAATGTCAATATGCCATTTGAAGATCTTCTTTTTTTAAATAAAGAAAGTAATTAACAATAAAGAAAATTAAAAATATACTTAATTATATATATAAAACAGATCTTATTAATTTAACGTCTTTAAGCTTATTGACTATTGTTCTTATTTGAATAAATTACTAATATAAAAACTGATATTTTATTATATGAAGAGTCGCGGCCATGAAAAACCTTATGTAAATTCCGATCGGTTTTCAAAGTAACTTTTCGAAGTAACGCTCGGCCGAAGATACCGAAGGTGCATAATAATTAGAGCTAGACAATGAAAACATGTTGAAACTACAATAATGTAAACAACACTTATTAATCAAATTCGTATGCCCTTTTCAAGATAGTGTTAACTGAATATTGTGTTTGTCTTAGTCTAAGTGGCAACGCTGTTGTATTATTCGACTTCTTTAGATGGGGTATAATAATTGCTTTGGTTTACTAAGAGGTAGGTACAGTTTAAAAATCGCTTTATAAGTCATTTTTAAGATCACTCTCCCTTAAGGAGCGCCCTAACATTGATAAAGAAATATGAAAATCGATTCATAATCGGCAAAGACATCGCATAAAATACATAGCAATACAATATATCTTCATGATTTTCTGAAATCGTTTCAAATTATAATCTGAAAGATTTCTTTTAATATATTTTTTATGTAGCAATTGTCCTGAAAGAACTTAGATTCTGTATGCTAATTATAAATGCGATATCATAGAATAATAAACTTAATAAATAAATTGAATCGTCTATTAACAATTGTATAATATAATATATCATGTTATCGCAAGTGATCAAACGCAAGGTTTACACTGCGATTCATGCAATTTTAGTGAAAGCGTTGCACGAAAAACAATGTCGTTTGTCATTTTTGGTCGTTATTTATTGTTATTACAGCATTTATTTGAGATAGTCAGAAGTAATTTTGACAAAGTAGTGAATAAAAATTTCATCGCATTCATTTTACAAATTTAAATTGCTTACGGTGGTTACGCCTTCTAATTGTGATCTGATATGGTTATTATATCTATGGTTATTTTTATTAATATTTAAAAATATGTAATTAGATGAAAATTGACTTCATTAGGTACATTTATATATAGTACTAGCGGCTCACCCTCGCTTCGCTCGAGTTCGCCTCTAGGAAAACAAAAACAAACCTATCCCACGGGAACCGTACATTTTTCCGGGATAAAAAGTAGCCTATGTGCTATTCCAGACTATAATCTATCTCTGTGCCATCCACAAACAACAAAATTTCATCCAGATCCGTTCAGCCGTTCTGTCGTGAAAGAGTAACAAACATCCATACATACTCACAAACTTTCACATTTATAATATTAATACGGATGTTGTACTACATACATAATTGACCTACACATGGTATGACAAAACAAATTTTAAAATACCTCGACATTAATTTTGACTTTATTATTTAATTTAGCATTACGTTTGACGCAATAGTTAAGTGCCCGAGTACATTTTATTATGGTCGAGGTCACGAAAAAAGGGTCAAATAAGCACTATATATATTTTAAAGTATCTCCAAATCAGAAGGATTTATTTAAGTGAAAATCTTAAAGCCAGATGTAGGCAATTCTGTTTGCTATTTTTCTTGTGATTTTGAGACATTCGATTTGGCAAGAAAGAACAAATATCATTTAAAATGGCAACAATGGATGAAATAATGTTTACTGGTCGGCATTATTAAAACAGTAACCGTTCAAGAATAAAAGACTAGAGGAAAATAATTTTCTTTCCCAGACGGGACAACTCACACCATTGTGAAAGGATTTGAAAGACCCTTTTCATGGGGGCTATTAAATTCTTTCTCCGCCATAAAGGCCTTTGGAGTCTTTTATTTTCAGATGATATATTTTTTTCACAGCAACCAGTCAACTATCATGCCGCCCCATTTTTCAGAACGTGGTACTATTAAATGTAATATAAAAATCCCCACTTAAGTCATGGACAGTAAAGCGTTGCTTCTGTTTTAAAAATCTAAATAACTTTTTCGTGATATCAATGTACGCGTATCCATTTAAAGTCCTTTACGTATTCCCAAACATGAACACTCAAGTTACCCTATGCAAAAAATACAAAGGAACGTCTGTTAGCGATGTTTGCAAAGTAAATAATGCAAATAACAAAAATTCTGTGTACCAATCCCTTATTGAATATCCGAATGTACACCACATAGTGTGTTTGAACAATATATTCAAACTGTATGAAACGACCAATGACCAACGTTCTTTATACATCGTCGGAAAAGTATGGAAATATGAGTAGCAATATTTCACACATCCTTCGATGGTGATCCCTACTTTCAATTTGCGTACATTTTGTTTAAGATCCTGAAACTACTTATTCCGTATTCAGGGCGCATGGCCTAGCATAAATATCCCTGTCGTACTCATTACAATAACTTCGTCTAGCGAATGGACGTCCCGGGAGAGAGGAACGGATGCGTAATCCTATGGGATCTTCTTACTTAGGTAATGGTTTTCTTACAGTACAGTACATAACAATTAGTATCTTATATCACTTGAAATGAAGTAAAATAAGATAAAAATAAAAAATATATATTTAAAAATATAATAGATGTTCCATTTGGTTGTATCAGTACCTAAAGAGCAAAAGATTTACGCTTAGATGGATAGCAAAGGGGAAAACTCAGTATCGTTTTAACAGGTTATTAAAAAGTTTAAGTTTCGACTGGTTTTCTTATAATCTTTGAAGGGGAAATATCGACAACTTTAAGATACACTTTAGCCAATATGATCCATAGCTAGTTTAAATGTACCTACCTATACATAGGTTAGAGTATGAATTGGAAGTGGCTTGGTATTTTTTGAGATTTGAAATACTAAAATGTTTTATACATATAATGTTTATACGTTAAAAACTTCTTATTTTATCACTTTGTGAAATCTGAATCATCGATCTATGAAATAAGGACGTTGTTGCCAAAAAAAATCACTTTTCAGGATGAAATCCACAAAATCACACTATTATCTAATATTAGACATATTTTATTATCTAAACAAAAATGCTATAATGTTCAAAAGAAATGAAACAAAAAGACTTTCTTCTATAAATCCCAGCATCAAAATTGGCAAATGCGTTGGAAAGTCGAGTGCATCTGAAAGGCCACGGTCTGGCGCACACGACGCGTATGGACGTGTGGCAGATACCAAGCAACCCCGGGCCTGACTGGGCGGAACTGTTCGTGCGTGCCTGTTTGTTATGCTAATTGCATGTGACACATAGGTACCGCATCCGCGTAATTAAAGTTTTGCATTTGAAATACCCTATTGTAAAAGTGTACCGCTTTTATCGTCTAATTATGGAGTCGCAAAAGGTTAATTAAAACTAAAGTGCTTAAAATAATATTTTCAAGTAAATGTTTACTTGAGATTTTAAAACAGATACCTCATTTTAAATAAAACTATTTGAAGAGTGAGAGAGAGACAGGAGAGATTGGCGTAAATAGCCTTTTTGGACCCCAATGCAAAAAAAAAATGGTAGTGCCCCCCTTTTCTATCATGAAAAAGAAAGTGAACTGCTAAGCATTAAAAAGTTAGCTAGTCGGCAGTAGACACCTGAAAGCTGAGGTTTATTATAAATGAATAAAAACTGAAATTGTAACAATCTCAAGTTGCCACTTACGAGTATATACTTGAATATGATAGAGACAGTTTTCGAACCGAGGACCATTCCTTGTTTTATAGAACATAAATAGGTACGATCACATTCCCCGTGGTCCTCGTAAAATAATAATATGCGGAAATTTTGGACACTTTTTTCTCAAAGTTTTTGAAACTTCTATGAGGGACGTCCAAGAAGAAATGTTTTCAAATAATAAAATAACCTTTTGTAGCCCGCTGGGGCGCTCTTAAATCAGAGGGAACATGCGACCGCATTGGTTGCATTGGCATAGCTACGTCACTGCTCTTCCTAACCATGTTTGCTGGAAACTGGAAAGCATTCGAAACATCGGGAACCAAAAATCAAAACAAATTTGCGAAAAAATCTGAAGATAGTGATATATGATGATATAGAAAGAATAGATTAGCGGATAGATCTGGCGGGGAGAGTCGCAGAAGAAATCTTTCCAAAAACATAAATTAGTAAATAAACAGTGTAAAGTTAATAAAGTAGTTCCGATTATAATAATGTTCGTTCATTACCTTTATTTTTTTATTTAAATTCACTTCACAGAACTAACTAAAGATATGACAGTTAAAATAGTATAGATTAACCTTAATTTACATAGTGTTGTTATTTGAGTATTTAATTAGCTTTTAACTTCCTAGTGCATTTTTAAAACAAAGTCTTTATACCAAATTGTAAGCTATGAAATTTTAAGTAGTTTCTCTTATAAATATTTATATTAAATAAATGTATAAAATCTTTCAAGTAAACAAGTATGCAATATGAAATGTTATAAAATGCACTTTGTATCGACATCTTGAAATGAAATTGAACGCACAACGTCTCGACAAATGACATCACACTTCTGACGTTTATTCAAAACTTGAACGATATTTCTATAAAAATTCTATTCATTTTTACCACTTACATTTTATTTTCTTTAACATGTTTTGCTATGAAACAACATCTATTTAAAATGAAATTGTACCTATATTGAGTTTGAGCAATAATGGATTTCAGTTTGAGCTACAAAGCGATTAAGCATGTTTACATAGAAAATTGTAATGATACATCATAGTATCGAAACCAAATAAGCAAGTAAAATGTAAATCTATAAGTGAAAGTTTGAATATATCGCTACGGCGCGGCGGCGCCATGATTACGGGTTCTGCAAACAGTTTTTATGTTACTACACATTAACAGATATAAGTTCATTTATTTGAATTTTGAACCTTATTTCGATGACATTAAAAGTAAAAATACTTGATTGAACGTGATTCCTCTAATGCATGCTTGCAACGGGCCCGTCATTATTACCATTTTCTACGGACCTATTATGTACGCATTTTGATGGATTTTTTTCTCTTTCCACTACTCTTTATTTTTTTTTTGTATAAAAAACAGCTTATACGACAACAAGTTTGCAACTTGTATAACTTGGTTTTCTAAAGATTTTACTGAATGCTTTATATAATACAAAAAATTAAGTCTAATTTATTTAAAACATTTCCTGTATAAAATGAAGTATTTATCCTTTAATAAAATCTTCTTTTTACTATAAACATCCAGGTGTGTTTGTTTATCATTCTTAAACGCAACAACAACAACATATTTTCTCATAGATATGGTATTGAGATAGACTTTCTTCTATCCTATTACTGTACGATTCGCTAGTGTAATAAAAATTGTTATTATTATTATTATAAAACAGAATGTAATGAAATATATTCAACAGAGTGTAGGTAATTATGTACAAACAACCTTGACTCGATCTTCATTGCGAGGTGAATAATAATAATTTACTGAGAGCAGCGAGTATTGTTACGAGATAACTTATGCAAACTATTTTTTGGCGAACAAACTAAATGAACTATTATCATGTATGGTGAAAAACGTCGTTTACATATTACAAGTTAGAAAAGCATTAACCAGTGTAGTAAATTGAGTAGTTTATGATGCCTTAGATTTAATGTTAATGGCTTAGATTTAAGTCAACATATAACGATGGAGCGCAGCCAAATAGGGGCGATAGTGTCAGTGTTGATTACGACGAATCATGGCGATAAAGCCAGTCCCTAATAAAAACGCAAAGTACTAAGAGTCAGATTATTGGACATCGTCTTATCGTACTACTAACTTCACCCCAAATTAAGTGGACGAGAATTATGGACGAACTTCTACCAACCACGAATAAAGATAATGATGATTAGATAAATAGGGCAGCGTTCTAGGCTCCAGAAAACTATAGACAAATAACAAACTTATATAAGATCATATCACTGTGAACTAGACGCATAACTGTAATACTTAAATGGGATGCCAAGCAACCAGAATCTAAAAAAGCAATCTAGTAATCTTAGTGACAGTAAAATAAGTTTATAACACAAATGAAAAAATACACGTAGCTTTTCTTCTACTTGTGAAATGAAATGTCTATTGAAATAAAATTCAATCTTTATTAGACCCTCAAACCAATGTTTGTTAAACGTTGTGAGCTAATAAAAGTAATAATACGGGAGCGGGATTCACCGAACGGGAGGAAATGAAAGCGACGAGAGAATGAAATTGGAAAACTTGTTACAAAATTACTTGAGATGAAAAAGAAAATAAATAAGGCCTAGTATAAGTTGGCAGCAACGCGCTTCGCTTAGCTACTCTTATTTACCTGGATATTGTTTTTACCTCGTATCCATGTTATTTCATTATAAGGGTTCAACGTTATTCTATTTTTATATTTCTTTATTCTTATAATCAGCGTTTGTCAAACTTCCTCCGTCCAAAGTACCTCTTCAGAAATATAAGATATATTTAAGTGTATAAAATCACTTTTAACTCAGATAACTGATACTCATAATAATTTTATTCATAAAAAATAATTCCAGTCGTAAAACAGTGTCTTAATAGGTTTTTGAGCTTACCTTTTACTCCAGTTTCCGATCTCAGCGTAGCGACGGCCGTTAGTGCATCCGCTCCTCCTCACTTCATTTCCTTTGAGCGTCTGTACTGAGTTCCCGTTAGGCGTTAATATTCCGTTGGACGCACTGTTATTGTTCCGTTCCCGGTTTCTAGGGAAAGTTCCAGTGCCAGAGCGGAATGTCCCAAGCTGTGGCGTCGGCTCATCTAGCGCAAATTGTTGAAGCGGAAGGGTTACGTTTCCACTCCAACTCTTGCGATTCACAGAGAAAGTTTTGAATGTTCTATTGCCGTTTGTTGGTGATGGTGTCGCCCCGCAGAAACTGCTTCGGTTATGACTGTTCTTTATGAACGCACTGTTTTGCAATGCGATCTGAGGCTTAATCGGCACCAATGGTGACGCCTGGTCAATAGACATCGTACTTTTTATTAAAGTAGACTTAAACTACTGTTCTCTATCTACATTTTTGTCTGGAAAGGAAGGAAATCCAATTTTAAAATGGTTTTATGTAACGAGTACTTGTCTCAATGAAATCACCAAAAAATGTTATTTGCTTGTACAAAAACTTAAACCAATTGTAAACGTGACATAACTTAATGGATATCTACGATGAACTGCAATTTAGAATAACACCTGAATACAAAAAGCTTCTTTATTTCGACGATGTTTTGATTGACAATAGACAAGGTTTAATAAATAAAACATTGAGCAAGCGAGTTCAATTTGGGTTAATGGAGAGGAATTTTGTATATAGAAATTGCTGGAATGTTACGTCATATTTGAATACGTACGGACAAGAATATTAGAAACCTTAAGAAGTTAATCTTGTTTTGTCCAATTTTATTTAAACCTTATTAGATTCTAAAGCCCTTCAAAGACATTTATATCTAAAAGGATGTTTTATAATGACCGGACGTAGTTATTGCAACGAGCTGATGCAAATCGTCAACTGCTGCGTCACTTATGGCTAAACATACGTTACAACTTCCTCCTATCTCGAGAAACCTTTCAATAGGACTGAGACGAATACTAACATTACAGCCATAAAGATAAGTGGTCTTAACAGTTGATTTACTATCGTATGTATGCATTATTTCTTGACCTTGAATTACTTATAGATTAAATTGATGTTACATGTATTAACTTGCAATGAAAAGTCTATAAAGGGAAAGCTACTTCAAGGGACTGGTTTGAGTTGAGGAACCTTCAACCTCCTATAAATAATTCAACCTTATAATATATTCATAATTTTTCTATATCTAAAGTGTTATACATCAGCTGTAACACATAATGATAGTTTAACACATAATTGTTAAACAACAGTTGATAGCTTGTCGATTACAAAAAGTTTTTGTTTATCATTTCTTGCATAGTCAGTATTACACCAAAATAATTCATTCCGTACATACAGTTAAATGTTACTATGACTTTCACATTCGTTATATTTTTTCTTAAAGTTTATTTGCACTGTTCTTATATGGTCAAGAGAGATGAACAAGATCAGCCTGACCTAGTACGGCGCGGACATAACCGATTTGTGTGCCGGTGACCACTCGTTACCATCTTTATAGTTACGTAAGCATTGTGTAAGGTGATTTAACTACTTGCGTAACACGTTTTATGCCGATCTTCATCCATCAAATCTATCGTGAATGATGATTATGATTAAAATACATTTTTGTGTTTTATTATCATTTTGCAAGGTCTACTTCCTTATTCATTAATTTTATAAAAAGTCGGACAAGTGCTAGTTTGTTTCTGAAACTTGCTATCTTACGTAATTGACTACGCTAAAGGTAGGTAAATTTTAAAAAAGAAGTCGTTTTAAAAACTATTATCTCAATTTTCAAATATTTTTCTAAAATTTAGAATTCTAAATTTTAAATTTTCTAAAATCCTTAGACTTTACATATTAGTATACTCTTACATTGCAGTTTTTATATTTTTTCTCAAACATAAGATATTTTCCCGCCATAATAAGTATTCTATATGTTGACGCGGCTAACCATCTATCGCCATACCAAATTTTATCAAAATCCGTCCAGTGGTTTTTCTGTGATGCCGTAACAGACAGACAGACAGGCAAAAATTCTTAAAACTATACATTCGGCCTCTGTATCGATAATAATGTTTATTTCAATAAGATTTTCCAAAAAATATTTAATGTACAGATTCGGCTTAGTTACAATTTTATTATACGTATAGATAATAATAATAATATGTTGCGACATTAACACACAGCACCATGTAGTTCCATGGTAAGCTACGAGGCTTGTATTACGGATTGTTGATACACTACAGACATATAATTTTAAATATATACATATTATAAATATGAACACCCATGACTGGAGTACAAACATTCGTGCTCATCACACGAATGAATGATATTAAAAGAATAACGCTATTGCCCTTTGGCTACGGAAACCTAAAACGAATTGATAAAAAATTTAGAGTATCATTTGATAAAATCCATAAAACGTACATTATGTAAGTATACATATATATGTATTTATATTATTTCAATCTGTTGCCACTAAAATCAGTATAAAATGGAAATATTTTTGAATCTTTCATTATTTTTAGTGTTTCCTTGTGCAGTTATAATAGCTTCTTTCATCTATGTCTAAATGCACGTTCGTAGACGTCCCATTTGCATGAACCATTTCTTCAAGTAGCATCTTTTGCAAGCGTGAATATTCTAAGAGGTGAAAGAGTAGATACTTGACCACAGACTGAGTCTGCATTTTATAATTAGACCCCATATGAATAAAGTAACATAATTTAAACATTATTGTATTTAAGTAAGTTGTAATTTAAATGTCATTTCGATATTTAATTATGAGTATACAAACAGTTCTTATATGTTTATTTATTATTAGGATTCAGATTATATTTAACAACCTAATTTGCAATTATGATATACTTTATCAGCTAATACATTTGACATTACGATTTATAAGTGGCCAATAAACGGGATACTTAAGAGATTTTAAGCCTTTCATAAAAAACCTGTTAATATTCAAAATTTAAAGGTGTGTTAGGTCGGATGCAAAAAATGCCCAAACATCTGCCGATCGATTTATGCAAGCAGGTGCCTCAAATAACATACTTTTTATTGCATCTCCAGAAAAAAATTACATGCATCAAAAAACAACTGTAAAGTATAGTAAAAATGCACTAGCTTTTACCAAACACAATTCAAGATAACTAAAATGTTAACTATACAACAATATATTATATTATCTGAACTCTATAGTGTTTATGTACATATTTATGTATTACTTCTCATAAGTATTGTACTATTTTCATAATTTATCGTTTTTAATATACCTATTATCGTTTTTAAGTTAAGTATTATTTTTAAGTAATACTTACTAAATATTTACCTACTGAATATCTTCATAATAAAGTTTCAACTTTATATAGTATATCTACTATTTCTACTCTTAAGTGACTGTCAACTTCGACTGCAGTTCACACGCAAAAGATTCCTAAATAAACATGAATTTCAACTAATATACGTTGAATAATTTGTTTATATTCATCGTATATTTTCTATGTATTACCTGAACTAGTTGCTAGAATAATTTGAACCGTACAAACAACTAAATCAAATTACTAAAGGGAATAAACTAACTACACTACCGAAACGAAAGCGAATTGAACATCAAAAGCGACTAATTTTTAAACTAAACGAGGTTCACAGATCAAATAAATAGTCAAACTAATTCGATATTCAGTAGAAATAAGCCAGATGATATTGCGCCATTCTGACAACTATATAGGACCAGAAAAACACTTTACCTAAGTGTAGAATATTAAATGAGCGACTTAAGTCGATTTGTATTCAAGACGCGCCGCACGCAGGAAGGCAAAAGCCACAATATGTCTCTGAACATCCGAATCTTGTCCAATATTTCTATTATTGATACCAGTTACATCGTAAACTTAGTTTATTGCATCATTGACAAAATAACCATTTCCCAAATATGCGTCTCAAATCGTAAAAGAAATTATAGGAAATATGAACAAGTTAGCAATGTTATGGGCATGAGGTATCATCACGAACAAAGAAAAAATTGTTCAAATAAATGTCAATAGATAACGTTACCTGTATCGATTTGTTATTAACGTTGTGTTAAATTAACAAAAGATAAAAAATACATTCCAAAAAGGTATATTCTTGTTTTAAAAAATATTCTAAGTGAAGGGATAAGAAATAACACAACTCAAATTTGCGTATGTAATTTTACTGATTATATGAAATATCAGCAATTATATGATAAGTTTGTAGTATATATTCACAGATGGCGCTTTTACTTTTTATGAATTGTTTATCACGGTTAAAAATCACTGAATCTTTTTTATTCAAATGCAAGACGAATTTTACAATATTTACCATACGTTTGCACATATTTATAAAATAAAACAGTTTACCTATTTGCGAATCAACGACATATATTATCTATTCAAGCAAAAAAAAAATAGCCTGAGGAATTGCCCAAATTAGCGCTGTCCAATTTCTTTGCATGGAGTGAGGCATCACTAGTACAGTATTATGTTATCTGCGCTATGGGGTTTCATCAGGAAAAATATATATTAGTTCAAATAAATGTCAATAGATGGCATTATACATGCATCGATTTGTTATTGATGTTTGTGTTAAATTAATTAATATAAAAAAAAAGCCCCAAAAAGAAATATTTTGTTTGCTAAGTATAATGAATAAATGCGTTCTTAAAACAAATGTTCGTAATCTTACGAATCATAAAAAAACAGCCATTTTGTAATTTAGTAGTACTGCGTACTTAAATAGGATTGTTTAAATTTTATGAGTAAACAACCACATTTACCAATAATAAAAGTCGTTGAAATTATTATATTTGTATTTTGCTATTTTTAAATTGTATATTAAAATAAAGAAGTTCAGAAACTTAGAGATTAACGCCTTCTAGCTTCATACAGAAGCAAACAAAAAAAGTCCAATTAACGGTTATCAATTGCTATATATGGGATGAAAAATTTGTACTATACTATGTATTAAGGCTTAATACTCAAATCTTATCCAATTTAGTAAATAAAAAAGGGGAAGGGATTTTATCAATTTAAACTTTAGTTTGTAGTTGTGTAATTGGCATTAGATCAGGAGTGGATGCGGGTGACAGGAACGATAGTAAGATTGATGATGTTGCGAATGGATATGATGATTGATGGGAAAGATCAATGGCTTTTTGTAATGTTAATAATTTGCTGAATGAAATAGTATACTTTTAATTAAATTATGATATATGTATATAAAATAGAACAATATAATAATAATAATATATAACGCATGAATAAAATACGTAACTGGTCTAGACCGTTGGCAGTATTGGTTTCAGTTCTAAATTTTGGTCTAAAGCGGAAATTCTTGT